AATAGCAACCTCTTACTGAGGTAAATACTCCCCCTTATACACCGTAAGGACACAATTTGATAATGATAATGAAGATTGATTATTTCTTCTCTCAAAGAAGTGATAGATGAATCTTAAACATGTCTGGGAAACTCTCCTCTCTATCTTACAAATACATATGTTATAGTCTTTGAAGTAATTACATCATAGATGATTTATTCAATGATAGAACAATTGATCAATAAATGGTGAAACATGAATACAGTGAGCCATAGATGATTTATGCAAGAATAAACTTTTTCAGGTTACATTTGCCTTTATATTCTTTCAATAGAGAGTTATGTGTAAAAGGAAGGCTGAGAAAAGCTTAAAGATAAAAAGATGAAAGATTTTGAAGAACATCGTGAATAGCTGTTATGAAATGAACTTATTCAATGATCGAAAAATACTTGATCGATCATAATATTGATAAAGCTAAGTATAAGAGAAATAGATTTTCAAAGAGCATTGATCAAATACTTTATCAATAAATGGTTGACAAGAGATATAATCGATAAAAGGTTTGAAAAAGATTTTCACAGAGAAGTCACAAAATATATGATGATTAAGTGATCAATTAAAGCTTAATCGATTAAGTGATTGATAAATTACCATTGAAAACTTATTTCAGAAATGCCAGGAAAAACCTTGATCGATCATGTTATGTGAAAACAAGAGTTTCAGGAAATTGGAGTAAATCATTTTATCGATAAATCAATGATCGATCAAGTGATCTGAAAAATGGTTCAAAAACAAGTAAGTGTAGTGAAGGTGTTGATGATCGATCATTTGATTGAAAAATAATTGATCGATCATTTGATCGATTAAAGGCCTTGGAAGAAAATTTTGATGGAACACATTATTGATTAATTAGAAGTAAATTAACATATAATGTTCGAACAAGTTATCAATAATGGTTTGATCGATTAAGTGATTGATAAAAGAAGAATTGTTCAGAGTATTAAGCAAATAGAGAGATTTTACCATTTATCTGAGCTTTTATTAATAACTCGTTGATCGATCAGGTGATTGATAAAAGCTATGTTATACTCATAGAGGTTTTATGGCTCTTTCTTGACAGTTTATCGAACAATAAATTATCGATTAAATGATCGATAATTTGTTGCAACAACTTACAACTCAACCAGTGTTATCAATGATGTTATCGATAAAGTTTCAGATGTAGAAAATAAAACATACTCAGTAACTCGATAACTTTATTAATTAACCTTTAATCGATAATGTTATCGATTTTTTGTGCTTTTAGATTTTCAAGGATAGACTATACCTTGAGCACCTTAGTAATGCATATGAAGATAAAAGAGAAGAATTGAAGAGATAGTACCAGGAACTCGATAAAGTGATCAAGTATGTAGTTGCTTGATCATCAACCCGAACATCAGTTTACTCAATAATTGGCTCTAGGAACATCTGATAATGGCTTTTTATTTTCTCATTTCTTCTAGTGCTTTTACTCAATAACATGTTTGAGTAGCGTGTTACTCGAGAGCTTAATCGATCAATGTAGAACTTCTAGTCTTTGCCTCAATAAATTTGAATTCTGATTCAAGCAAAACAAAGGTCAATTTTGAATGATCATGAATCTTTCAATTCAAATCCAAATTTTACAAATGACCTATGCCTAGAAAGGTCTTTGAATCTACTTTCTAATGCAACAAGAACCACCCCAAAATTTGTTGTATTCGCAAAGTTATCTTCATCACAATGATTGAAGGTCAAAGTAAAGGTGTTAAACCAACTGCAATGTTTCGAGCAACATATCTCCCTTATATGAAACTCTTTGAAGTTGATCTTAGTGTCCATGAACTGTGTTCTAAGTCTAGTTTCATATGAATTAAGTTTTACCTCAAAAAAAATTTGTGGTTTAAGAGATATTAGAGAAATACCGGACCTATGTCAGAGCAACATTTGGGAAATTTTAGGATTTTCTGTAAAAAATTCGGGAAATTTCACATTTGTGCGTAATTTTTTTTTAATGCAACATTTTTGTCTGTTCATCTTAACAGACAAATATAGTACACTTTTTTCGTCTTTTAAGTTGAACAGACGAATATGACATATCATATTCATTTGTTCAAGTTAACAGACAAATATATTACATTATATTCGTCTGTTGGTAAACAGATGAATATTCAATTTCTATCTACGTCTCATTCATCTACATCCCCCTCAAAATAGACGAGAAAGGACCTTCAGAACAGACGAAAATGACCTTTTTTCTAGTAGTGCTGAACAAAGAACAAAGCATAACAGAGTATGTGTTTACTCGATAAATTGATCGATAAGTGTCTAATCGAGTTCTTAATCGATAAATACCCTTGAAAATCACCTCTAAAGCTTATTTTCAATGTTTATATGAAGGGTAACTCAATATATAATGACATAACTTCTAGTTGTGCCTTTTAGCTTCCGATTAAGCCATTTAAACTTCTAATTGAGCATTGCAACCTACAATATCAAATTTATGAATTTGAATCTTGATATTTCCATTACAAGTTCTTTTTTTTTTCTCAATCTCTCCTCTTCTTCTTCTTCTTGATCATTTTTCATAACTCAAAGTTCAATCATAATAGCTCCTTTCTTTTTTTGAGGAAACTACACAAGATATTAAGTATAGTAGTTAATCAAAGTATGAGATAAATAATTTATAAAAAATTTTTACTCTATTATTTGACATCATCAAAACTAATTATATCTAACATTTAATTCCCTTAGGAATTATTTAAATTCTTTTTTTTAAAAATCGACTCTTTACCAATGATAATTATGTTTTAAATATTATTAAAGCTAACCTCCTCATCAAATGAAGTCTGAAATAATTTTATAAATTATTATAATCCTCCAAGATAATTTCTCATATTTTTTTCAAAATTATTAAGACCTCTAAATATTTTTCATAATTAAGTTTTGGTCACTCTTACTCGATGTAACAAAAAATTCCTGTAAATATAGAAACTTCTATATTTATTTATTTTCCTTCCAATAATTCCTCTGGGCCTCAAATATAATTTCTTGACCCTTATTTCTATCTTTCATGATTTTTTGGGAATTTCTGAGAATTTCTAACTTAAATTCTCAATTAAATCTTTCTTTAACTGATATTTAAAATATCAGCTGAGCCTTATCCGGATTTCAAAATTCATACTGGTGCTAGCTATAATTTCCTCTACCTTAACTGAACCTTGATCTGTTCAATTCCCTTAATCTCAGGGTTAAGATTTTTGGAATGTTACACAACGTGATCAAGTTAATAGTCAAAATTAATTGGGATAACAGTCAAGATAAAATTGCTCTATTTTTAAGGCAACATTGAGGCTTCAAAAACTTCTAAATACCAACGTGCTAAAAATCAGACCGGTCACTAAACTGGTCAAGTTAATAGTTTAAGAGTTGGCGGGTTAGATCGAGTCAACTCGGAGTTAAACTGGTTATAATTGAAATAATATAATTTAATTAATATACATTAAAAAAATACTCGTCTACAATAATAAAAAATAGTATTTAAATAAAGAAGATATAAATTTATAAGTAAATAAAAAATAATTTGTGCTTATCCGTCAAAATGAGTTTTTTACCTGCTACTTATGCACCAATTGTGGTTGCCTATTACTTGACATCATGAATCTATTATTTTGGGCTTGGGGTGATGTTTTTTCAAACTGAGGAGACAATAAAAAATTAAAAATTTGAGAATTAAATAAAATGTCCAACAGTTGTTACACAATGGTTATTATCCTCCCGTTCTCTTCTTTATTCGTGCCCAACATACGTTTCTCTTCCAAGAGCCCCTCGGTAACACCCTCTCAATGTCTTTCTTCTAGTTCTCCTTCATTGTTCCTTCTCTTCTCTTCCCTTCCCTTACAAGTCTTTGTTTAGACTTTTTCTTCTTCTATTTTCTGCTTTTTTACAGGTATTAACCTTCTGTATTTTATTTTTCTCCACTATGAATCTAGTTTTTTGCAACATTTCTTCTTCCACCTTCTCTTCTCCTTCTGTGGCATCTCTCCTTTCATTATTTGCTGGGCAAAAAGATTAACTTGATAGCTCGTCAAACCTAATGGTTTGCCTTGTTCAGTCCCGAGCTATGCCGGTTCACCCCGAGTTACTCCGAGTCAGTGTGTTCCGACAAGTTAGCATGTCAACCGGACCAGACAAGTGGCTGGCTCGCTAGTTTTCGAGCCAACCCAGCCGGTCCGGTTCAGTTTTAAATACACTGCTAAATACTCATAACTCTTAGATGACTTATTGACTATATACTTCTAAGAAAAATTCAGACATTATCCCTTAAAAAAGTTATACACAATTATGGCAGTAGTAAATTACAAATTGCCTTACATCAAAATAACAAATTCTCAAGAAGAGCTTTTAAGTCACAAAATATGTTTATAAGCGCCACTCGTTCAATAGTTAAATCTGGGTCACATTATACCCATTTGACAAGGTTGTGTTTTTTTTTCCTTTTCTTTTTCCAAAAAGTTAAAATAACATGTCATACAAAGAAATTTACAAGTGCTACTCTTAAGGTAGTCAATCCTAAGTCATTTTGGTCATTAGCATTTTGTTTGAGCAAAGGGCCAAAGTTTTTAGAATTTCAAAAATTCAAAATCCCTATTAGTGATTGAGAGAGTATTTGAGTAAGATCAAAACTGTAATTTCAAAAGTACTTTTACCGTGTACGAGGTAAATATGCGGAAAAATTTGTCACAACTTACGGAAAAGTACTTCTGAAAAGCACTTATTAGGCTTCCCAAACACCCTCTTATTTTAAGATGCGGTCCCTATTTACGTTTCCCCCATATTCATCCCGTCAATGTCATAATTCAAGCATTTATGCATTATCGTTAATGATAGAAACTTTTCCCACAAAAAAATAAAGCAATGGAAGGGTGCTTACTCTGTCTATGGTTCCAATGACACCATCAAGATCTATACTAAGGAGAATCCATCAAAGAACCATAGACTTATGCTGAAACATGTAAGATATTAAAGCCAGACTCCGAGTAAACGCAATATAACATTACCATCCTCTATGTACATCAACAGAGACCAGAACTGCCAAATGGGTGAATCAGGCCAGCTATCCATGAGTTATGGGTTAAACAAACCAACCCAAGATGCAACAGGCAAATGTGAAATGTGTACAAAATATATGCCTGCACAAAAGAAACTATCTATTGTTTAAGTAAGTTTAAGCCTGCATCTACGAATTGCAGCAGCTCTGGAAGCATTTTCCTCGTTACATTCAGGAGATTCTTCCACCACATCTTCCTGCACAACAAGCCCTCGGTTTCGGGTTAGCTTCCTGATTGGTGTTGTGACCAATGATGGCTGGGAATTGCTCGTGGTAGTCGCTGCCTGACTGGCAATCACTGTGCAGAACTGAGTCCTATGAGGCATTTGCTCCTCTCCCTCAGGCACCATGTCCTTCATTAGCTGAAAACGATTATCGCCAACATATATCAATAAACATCCAATGGGTTCAGTGCGTGTGTGTCTATGAACTCCATTCATAAAATCGATGAAACAAACCTCAGAAAACCTACAACATACATAAATGACGGGATTAAAATTTATCATAATACATACCAGCAAAAGCAATAAGATACTATAATCTTAAATCGATAGCATGCCGCAAAACTCTTGACTAACAATAAATTCATCCCAGTACTAGAGTATATTACTTGATGGCTTGCCGTTTTTAAAGTATGAGTGGTCACTATCCGTACCTTCCAATCTTCAAAATCATATCTGAACACAAAGTGGCTGTAAGAAACTTCTTTAGACATAACCGAGTTGGATGCTGGAGCATTCCTCGGTGCTGGAATGGAAATCATAAACTTAAGTATAAATAGGAAAAGAACAAACAATATAAGCAATATATTGAGTTGTATAGAAGGGAATGTCTTACAGACAAAGTGAGAACCATTCTTATCCGTAGATATTTCAGCACGGCCATCTTTAACTAAAAATGAAAGAGCAAACAGGTTTTCAACTGTCTGCGCAAAGGATTTCCTATTCAACATTAGGCTTTCTAACCGAACATGTTTCTTCTTCCTCAATATCTCAAACATTGTTGCCATATTCTTATCAGTATCAGTTTTTTCCTCCCCTGCTGCATCATCAATCTGTTCAAAACAACAAAATAGAGCAAACGCTAAATACTTGCAAACCATACCATAAAGTTAACATGTTTTAAAAACGTTTGCATTGAAAACAGCGTCAGTAAGTAATCATGCTAAGTGGATAATCTCATCCCAGGGTCCAGTAAACATATTCGACAATACTCTTCATTGATAAAAACGTTCATTTCCCCACTTTAGGTATTGTATATCAGTTTGCCACCATATGCTACATATATATAAGGAAAAATACAGGGCAGAAAGCAAAGGCACCTCTTCCGGCCTAGCCATAGCAATTGTTGGCCTTGTGCGTTTTCTTTGTGCTACCTTCCGTTGCTTCAACTCATTTTCCATCGGACCAAGCCTTTAAAAAAGGCCACCAAAAATAAAACATTAAGAAAAGAGATAAGAGGAGTTAAGACAGACAATTATATTCCGGAAGCCATTCTAACAAAGCAAATTCCTGTATACTCACATGGTGCAAAAGCCATGAACATTCGTGAATGTTGGTGATACTGCCATCCCAACTTCGTTCCAGTTAATTGAGCTGTGGGGACTCTCTTCGCTGCTTAAACCCCCAGTGGATTGTCCAAACTCATTAATAATGCAGCTAACAAACTCAGAAGGTGTGACACCGTCTCTAAGCAGAGACTTCACAGAACCGACCAAAGTGGTAGCCAGGTCAAGAAGGGCCTCAGCATCTGCAACTTGCTCCCTTGGCTTCTGAACTGCAATACCAGTGAATAGATAACAAGAAATTTTAATTTTCCAAATCAGTTAATCAATCAAAGAAAAATGAAAATGCAATGAATTATACCGTGTTCATGTAACTTCTCCACTTCCTCCATGATGTTATTAAACTTGTCCGAATCCGTCTTAACCAAATCATCCCTTTTCTCTGTCACATTTTTTAAACAGATAACAAATTTGCAAATCCAGATTAAGCAAAAGAAACCCAAAAGTAGAAAATGAAAGAGATATGCAAAGCCGCTATTACCATTTATTAAATTCATAAGCACCAAATACTGAGACCGGATCGCCCTCCGACTCGCTGGGTCCTGCTCGTTCTCCTGGCTCGACTCATGACCATCGTCGTCTACTCGAGAATCCCTTAGCCGTTCGGCCCTTACAGCTCGGAGACGATCGGTGCCATTGACTCGGCTACTACTGGCTGTTTCGCGTTCACGTTTTGGGAAGTTTCTCATGTTTAATCAGTCCAAGAGATCGACGAGGCAATTCGAGAAACCCTAATTTCAGAAGCCAAGTATCGAATGGTTGAGGAGTAGCAGGAATTCGGGAGATACTCAGATCAGTTGATTTGAAATGGCGTCCCTCCCACGTTTCAAATTTAGGGGCAAGTATATAAATCGAAATTAAAAAAAAAAAAAAACGATCATGCCGTAATCGAGCGCTCTAGAATCCAAAATTTAAAGTCCCCTCCCTCCAAAAAAAAAAAAAACTTAAAATTCCCCCCAAATAAAAAAGCTAAAACGAAATTTAAACGAGAGCTCTCGAACCTAATTAGAAGTTGAAAGTTCCCGCTTTTTTCCCCACAAAAAAATTTCTTCCTGCCATTATTTTTGTTGAACTATGAATGGTGAATTGTATTGGGAAATTTCATCATTTGGGCCATTAACTGAAAGCCATTTCATTTAAGTAATTTCTCACGCATGAGAATGAAATTCTCACATTGTCTCAGAGTTTGGCATGACTTCATAAAAAAACTTACAATTTCGCGTAAGGATTCAAGAATGGTAAATGGCGTTGGGAAATTCCACCATTTGGTTCATGAACTGAATACCATTTCATTTCAGTGATTTCTCATGCATGGGAATGAAATTCTCACATTGCCTCAGAATTTGGTGTGGCGTCACAAAAAAAAAAGATTTCATGTACGGATTCTAGAAAGGCGAATGGCGTTGGGAAATTCTACCATTTGCTCCTTGAATTGAAGCCAATTTCCTTTCAGTGAATTCTTGCATTTGCAAATGAAATTCTTATATTGTCTCATAATTCAACTTGGCTTCACAAAAAAGCTCATGATTTTGCGTAAGGATCCTAGAATAGTGAATGGCGTTGGGAAATTCTACTATTTGGGCCATGAACTAAAAGTCATATCGTTTTAGCTATTTCTTGCGTATGAGGGTGAAATTATCATATTGCCTCAAAATTCGACGCGGCTTCACAAAGAAACTCAATATTTTGCGTGAGGATTCTAGAATGGCAAATGGCGTTGGGAAATTCCACCATTTGCCGCTTGAACAATTTCATTTCAATGAATTCACGTATTTGCGAATGAAATTCTCATGTTATCTCGGAATTTAGCGTGGCTTTACAAAAATACTAACGATTTCACGTAAGGATTTGAGAATAGAGAATGGTGTTGGGAAATTCTACCATTTGGGCCATGAACTGAAAGCCATATATTTCCGTAACATCCCAAATTTTGGCTCATAGATACAAGTAATAGTATAAGGAAAGGATGATTACTAAGTCTAATGCAACGAAAGTCCCGGAGATCCCTCAAAAGGAAAAAGAGATTTTCCAAGGACAAATATGTAAAACAATAGTGTTTGGGGATTAAAAATGACGAACTCGAAATAATCAAGGGCCAGAGGTTATGCCAGAAACTTGCAAGAGATGGTTCCAAAGGTTAGGCCTAAGGAGGGACCAAATTGCAAAGAAAAGATTCCTAGGCCAAGTAGGGACCTAATTGTAAATAATAAAAGTTCTAGTAAGCCAATGCTCAGAGTTAGCAACAAGACCCAAATGACTTAGAAAAATTTCAAAAAATTGAGAATAGGATCGCAGAGCCGATATAAGGCTAGAAATGATGAAAATGCCCTGAAGTCATTCCAGGGCTTTGGACAATTTGAGATAGTAACTTAAATTGAATTATTTAAACTATGAGATGGCCTCAAATAATTAAGAAAAACTGGGGAACAGTAGTTGAGGAATTTACATAGATTGTAAAATTAATTCCGTCCCAAGAAGCTAACAAGGTTAGCTTTAATTAAATTTAAAGCCTATTTATACTCTATCCGGGGAAAGTTAAAATAGCTGTCTAGAGTTTGACTTTTGACCTGAGAAAAATTAGAGGAATTTTCCGTGATGAAAGGGAAAGAATGAAACCTAGAGACAGATCAACCGAGTTACGAGTCGATAGAAAGAATTCGGAAAAGGCAACCCTTAAGTATTATCTAATAATATTTCTAGGAAAAGGAGAAAGAAAATATCTAAAGACTATCATGATAGCGTTAAATCAGCATGCTGAGTTACCAAATGCATTATGACACCTACGAGTCATCATGCTGAGTTAGCAGAAGATATTTATAGACAACATAAAAATCAGAACGCAGTACGGGAATATTTTAGACAATCCTTTGTCTACCCGGTATAGTAAAATCTCTACTGCGTGACTTAGTAAGGTTAAGTAGCCTGTCAGTAGAGCTAATTGTTTTCATCTATGCTCCTCTAAGATGACACCATATATGTACTTAATTAAGATGAGAAAATGGTGCCAGAACATGTCTCTGTGGTACCGGGTCAGTCAGGACTCAAAAAAAATACCCGATACGGTGCAGAATGGCAAAATAGGTAGAGGAATACCTAAGGGATATATTTTACACGAATTTTATATTAATTTCCTCCCTATTTTAATGCCAAAATGATGAAGGAATGTGAAAGAGACAAGTGTATGGTTAGATGGGAAAAGAAGGTATTACGTGTACGGTTGAATGCAAGACATGTGTATGGTCGGATGCAAGACAAGTGCACGGTTGGATTAAAGACATGTGGCTTGATGATGTAAGCAAGATGTCATCAAGATGAGTTAAGCATAATGTCATAGGACACATGTCATCACAAAATAAAAGAAGAAAATGGACGGTCCAGATCAAGCCACATATTTTTAAGATCAACGGCCGAGATTCAGTCTTGTTTTCTATAAATACCCCTCCCCTTCCTATCATTTCGTCCAAGCACAAGGAACCCATGGGAAAGCTCTTGCAAAATGGTTTCTAGAGAGAGAAAGAAGAGGGAGAAAGAAAGGCCAAGTGGTCCCAAACCAGATCAAGCTCTAAAACAAGGTATGTGTGTTGTTTTTGATGTAATTTTCACTACCTTTGTTGTTGTTGAGCTTGGTTATGGATTTTAATGGTTTTTGGGAGTTTGAAATTCTAAGGGGGCATGCTGCACGAAATTGATAATGTTAGGCAAAGATGAAATAGATGTTAGAAACATGTTTAAAGGCTTGGAAACAACGAGAATCAAGTGGTTCTGTGTTGATTTTGCAAGAAATCCAACTTTCCCCTAGTTTGTGATTCTATTCGGCCTTGACTGTTCTGAATGGTTAGGATTTGATTTTAATTTTTTTTAGCTTGGAAATAGATCCTACATGCAAAATTATGTGAGAATAGTATGTGGAAATAATTATAAGAAGGTTGGAATTGAAACTCAAAAGTTAGAGTTGAAGTATGTTCAAGAAAGAACCAAGTAGAGATAAGTTGATAACTTAATTCTAATAATTGTTTTACATAATGTATTGATGTGTTTAGGACCTTGGAACATCCAAGAAGATGTTTAATGGTGTTGACCGAAAATCCATAGGGTTGGAAAGACAAGGGAATCAAAGGAAAAACAAGAGGAAAGCTATGTTACAAGGTAATAAACTTACCTATATTGTGTGCTTGATATGGATGCTTGCATGATGTGATTGTGTTGACATGATGTGACTAAGCTATGATAAAATGTTTGCAAAGTTATGTTTGCAAGTTTATGTTATGCTTTGCCTTGGTAATATATTATGAAAGCATGAAAGGCTTTAGCTTACTTTCCATGGTGTTCACATGTTAATGTTTGGGACATTATAACATGTCATGCATTTGCATTATGTCTTGCATGCTTATGGGTAGTGTTTGCAACTGAGATTCTCTCGAATCTCACCCCTCCCTAACCGACCATTTAGGTCAATCAATGGTGGACAATAATGGCATGAGAGGCAAGGAGAAGAAAGTGGAGAATTATTGACATTAATAAATGATATTATTATTCAATGTGTAATTCTCCTATTGTATAATTTATGTTATGGATGCCAATGATGCCATGTATTTAATTACAATGTTTATGGGATGAATATAAATGTATGAGGATGATTGGGAAAGCATAAACCCAATTTATGTATGCCAAAGAAACAGAAAGAATTAAAGTAAAAAGAGCTTGAGAGATAAAACGTAGGTCATGAAGCAGTGAGTTTGTAACTCCAGTTTGACCTATCAAATGAATGAGCTAAGCCACAAAATTTGGCAGATTCATAGTACACATCCCAAGCTTTGAAATAGAGGTAGATTGCCTCAATAGGATATGTACACAAGAAGATACAAATTTTCAAAGTTGAGGCACAGAATCTGAAAGTTCCACATTTTACTAAATGAACAGTAATTTTATTGATTAATCTGTACGGCACGGCTCTGATACCACTGAAGGGTATTGAAAAATGCGCAACGGAAAATAAATTTAAAAATTTCAATCCCTTGCCCGGATCTACCGATCGTGGTTAAGTCAAGTAGTAAGAAGAATTACCTTCGATGTTCGATTTCTTGGTGGCTCGGTGATTCTGCTGTTCAGGATGCCTCTGCTCGCCTCCTTTATCGCTCGAAGTCGACAACTTCGGTCGGCTTCCTCTACCGGTATCCACACGAACAGCTCTCCAGTCACGAACGACGTGCTAGCGCCTCTTTGTCCGTCTAGGGTTTTTCAAAGAATCCGTCCTCCTCTCTCTATTTTTGGGCGTCTCTTATCTACAAGCTTTCGCCCTCTCACACACAAAACCCTAGCTCCTAATATCAAATATATAGGATGCTATAGGTATTATGAATGATATTTAATTTCGAAATTAATCCTAAATTAATTCCGAAATTAATGCAATATCAAATATTGCCTAATCAGATAAGAGAACAATTAAATAAATACGGTTTATATTAAATCCGTCTCACAGATTTAATTCACCTATTTATTTAATTCAAAATAAAGATATGACGAAATTAATTTACATAGATCTAATTTATCCTTATAAATTAAATCTAATAATTAATATCTCTTATATTTATATAATATGTATATATATATACGAATTTATATATATATACACACGTCCACCGTATATTATTCATTGAATTTGGACATATCTTAGATTCAATGAATCTGGACATCATAACTCGTGTTGGGCTATTTTGTGTGCGACCCTGTAGGCCCATATGAAGTTGGCAGTGGGCCATTAACTATAATGACTCACAAGTCGTAAGCGGTCTCTGGCAAGACATCACGACTACCCAAATCATATGAGGATCGTTGAAC